GGGGAAGCACGACCACGGCCCCCGCGACGCCGCCTTCTTCCAGGTGCGACGAGCCGCCACGCGCTGGCAGTGTGCTAGCGCACACTAACGGCACGCCAGCACACGCTAACCCGCGCTAGTGGCACGCTAACGCACGCTGACACACGCTAACGGCATGCTAGCACATGCTAGCACGACCACGGCCCCCGCGACGCCGCCTTCTTCCAGGTGCGACGAGCCGCCACGCGCTGGCAGTGTGCTAGCGCACACTAACGGCACGCCAGCACACGCTAACCCGCGCTAGTGGCACGCTAACACACGCTAACGGCATGCTAGCACATGCTAATAACATGCTAGCACACGCTAGCAGTACACTGGCACATGCCAACACACACGTGCCAACACGGGCTGCGACACGCTAACACCGCGCTAACGTATGCCAAGACTCACTGGTGTGCCCTAAGATACATCAGCAAAACGCTAAGGCATGCTAGTGCATGTGGAGACACGCTATCAACATGCTAAGACACGTGAGCGTGCCCTGAGATGCACTGTCAGCACAGTGTGCCACGCGCGCGTGGGCTGAGATGCACTGAGTGCACTAAGACACGCCACCGTGGGCTCTGAGAGGCCAGCGTGTCCAGACTGGTTAACACGTGCCAAGATGCACTAATAACAGGCTAAGACACGCTAGCGTGTGCTGAGACATACTAATAACCTGCTGAGATGTGCTGACACGCGCTGGGATGCACCAACATCATTACAAGACATGCTAAGGCACACTGAGATGCATTAACAACATGTCAAGACGTGGTAACGTGGACTAAGACACGCTAACAGCACAGTAAGGCGTGCTTAGCGTGTCCTTAGCATGTTGGGTGCATAAACAGGACCCCAAGCCAAGGGAAAGCCCCATCCCAGAGCCCGTGACCTGCATCCACGCAGCCTGTGTCCCCTGCAGCGCTTCCTTAGTGTGTCCGTAGGGGACGTGGCATGTCATTAGCATGTCCTTAGCATGCTAGGTACCCAAACATGACCTAACATGGAGGAAAATCTCTGTCGCCCATCATGTTACCTGCATCTGAGCAGTGTGTGTCCCCGAGGGCACCTCCTCAGCGTGTCCGCAGCATTTCCTTAGCGTTTCCTTAGCCTGGAAAT